ATATACATAATATATATATATACATATACATATATAATATATATATATACATATATAATATATATATATATATATATAATATATATGTATATATATGTATATATATATATGTATATAGCGCGGAGTCAAGTCAACAGCTGGGTTTGGGTCAAAAGTCCAGTTTTAAAAGGATATGTTTGGTTTACTGTCCTATAGTATACATTGGAATGATTTCAAACCTGTTTATCCCAATAATTATAAAGGAGTGCCTTGAAAATATTGTGTTTTACATAAATTGTGACCAAACCGTTTGAACTTAGACTAAAGTTAACTATCTAAACACTCAGAGTCCTTTACCTCACTGAGCTGTAGTTATCAGCCTCAGTCTGACTGGAGAGGACTCTCCCTCCACATTAAAGATCTGCTCAAAGATTGTTGGTCAACCCTGTCAGAGACTCTATGACTCAGCCTATCATAACAACCTAGTGAGGCTGTCCAACCACATAATCTCTGACCCAAACCATGTTCTGAACAGTGAATATGAACTGCTACCATCTAATCGGAGATACAGGGTCCCACGATTCAATAAAGTCAGACTGAAGCACTCCTTTGTGCATCAGTCAGTCCTCACAGTAAATACAGAGCTAAATCCCAGACCAAATGCACGCTGAAGGCTCTTTGAGCATGTTTTTCTCTCACTGATTGTGCTGTTATGTTAAATGTTTGTGTTTCATGTATTTGTGTATGCATATTTGTCTGTTGATGTTGGACATGGAGCTGCTGTGACGCAAGTCAAATTTCAGACTTGATCTGACAATAAAGTAATATCGTATCGTATCGTATCATTGTAGAAACATCTTCTTCTTATATCCGCAGCTAGCACCAGATTCTAATAACAACAGCGCCGGTACCGGTGCACCCTCCCTCTCTCCCTCGCTCACTCGCATTTTGGCTGTGAGCTGCGGGCGCCAGATAAGCCAACATCCCCCATTTCCATCACTTACAGCGCCCATCGTACAGGGCAAATGAAACGTGTAACCGGGGTGAAAAGGGTGTTACATTTACTTAATTATGAATGTTGTTACATCAAGGCCCGAAAATTAGGATGAGCCCCAACGGTCAAAAATGTGTTTTTC